AGGGCAAGTGGAATTAAAAGAGATGAAAAGCAGAGAAAGTTAAGTAAGAGTTAAAGTGAGAGAAATCTGTGTGATCCCTTGGCACCCTCATCTTGCTCTTTCTGCCTCCATCCCTCTCACAATAAAAGCGACCGAGTCAACAGGTAAATGGTGTCATGTTTGACTCTCTGTCTTTATCACTTATATTCAGCTCCCTCCTGCTGTGGCAGTCTTTGGATTTGATTCAGCTTTCCCTACAGTTATCAGGGTTAAGTACAAAGGTCTGAGATGTTAGTTGCATTGAGAGAATCCTTGAACGCAGTCATGTAAAAACAAAAACTAGCCCCTCATTCCATTTCACCTTTTGTTATTTATTTATTTTTAATTTTTTTGTATATCAGACTTTGCATGTTGTCCCTGTGTATGTGTGTTTCCCTTCAGGAACGCAGGCTTGCTCTCACCATCCAAAAACAGAAATGTTTGGTTAAATTATAATTCCAAACAGCCCATGGGAGGGAGTACGAGTGTGTGGTTGTTCATCTCCGTGTGGCCCTGTGATGGACTGACCACCTGTCCGAAGGTACCCCACTTCTGGTCCATCCCAGAAAGTTCATTCCAATTATAGAACTTGGAGTGAACGTGCCAGGATGGCCACACGCTGGATGTCCAGTAACTGTTTTGAAACTATAGAGAATATAAATAATCAGTCAAACTGTGGAACCAAATGAATGACTGCATTGTTTTGAAATGGCCTCATAGCTCTTATTGTATGGACGGAAAGCAATAATTGCTATGCTGAGATCATTGCTGACGTATCTTCTTCTTAAACATACATGACGCATCAGCTGGCTGCTGTGACCCTAATGCTCTCGTCCCTATGAGAGCATTAAGGATTTAGCTTGTTTTTCCAACACTGCTTCTGCATTTTGGTAATCATTTTGTGAATGCAGCATTGTGTGCTGTGTTGTCATTCATCTAAGGTTGTACTACGCTCATGAACATTACAAGGACAGGAGATTTCGTCATGTTTGATTATATTGCTTTGATACAGAAAGCCTCAGATTGTGACGGATGTTCTTTAATTTTAAGATGCATTGATTTCTGAGTCTAAACACAACTCACAGCTAGACAAGATGATAACATTGATGTCAGGATCAGCAGATATTCTGTTAATTGTGCCCACAACAATTCGAGGAATTTCCATCAATACTTCTTTTTAAAGTGCTACTCGAGATTATCACATACAAAGCCCAAACACACTCTTGAATAATAGGATCCATTCTCCCCAGCTCTTTTTTCTGTTTAATGATGTCACGACTAAAATGTTAATTACAGCTAAAATGAGAGATGATTGTGAATATCAAACAGCAATTAGCATGTATCATCGTCACCATCATTACCGCCATTAGCTGCCGCAAAAGATGGAGGATTATTTACCAAACGTTGAAATGCTCATCAGTTGCTTATTCAGGACACGGAATGTTTTCGAGTAAGTGTGAGAAACAAAATCATTCCTCCTTAAATTTGCATAATCAATGTAGCTTAAAAACGTAACTATTGGGATGCCGAGAGCATGAAAACAACCACACTGTGTGCTCATTGAAAAACAGCCCTTACTTAGGTGTAGACACAAAAATTAGCCTAAATGTATGGACATTTTGTTTCTCAGAAATACTTAATAAAACCCAGGCACTGGGTTAAACATACACAGAATATACTTCCATATTTATGTCTCACATCCCAAACTAGCACTGAAACGATATTCCTCACATTAAGATCCTTCTTTGGTCTGAAAAAATCACCTAACAACATTGTAATGTGTCTTTTAATAAAAAAACCCCAAGAGGATTCTTTTTTACTTTTGATTATCTTTATCATGAAAGTATTTTCAATGTATTGTACATTATTTTATCTATTTTCTAATCCCCGATGTGGAATGCTTCCTTATACAAAGCCCCCTTTAAAAATCCACCAATAATGATAAAAAAAATTCTTTATGAAGAAAAAAATTTACCATACTGCCAATTTCCTCATTACAGAAGGTGATTTATCACGTTGTCACACAGGAAGTCATGTGACAAGTAAGCAAAAAAATGTTCAAGGACTTACAAGCTAACAATGAACCATCATTACAATGGTAATTCTATTAATAATGAGCTTTCCCAAATAAAACCTGAAGACAAATATCAGCGACTGAATTAAAAACTTTCCATTTCTCACTTACCTTGCTGTACAAAGGAGCCATACACAAACCACATGGAATTGTACAGAGTGGTTGAAGACACGGATCCCATAGGTAGCCGTGGTGGGTTGAGCCAGTTGAGCAAGTACACCAGGATACCAACGAGAAGCACAGTACCAGCAATGCACGCCCACAGCGACAAGTCGAAAGGTGCCAGGCAGGCAAACATGTCCACCGTGCGCTCGGCCTTGCGCAGCAGAACGCCCACTGAATAATCCATGTAGCGTGTGGTGAAGTCTACAACACTCTCCCGCTCAGGCGTGATGGTCAAAGCAGAGAGTCCCACATCAGCTCGCTGCAAAAGGCAGAGAGGAAAATAGCGATTCGACATAAGTCTTTCAGTAAACAGACATGGATTAGGCCTTTTCATGTCACACAGAAATGCTGTTTTAAATATTGAGAAAATAAAAACATACATATATCACAAGTAAATATCATTGCCCAAGTAGATCAGTCAATAGAAATATCAGTGTTAAATATCTGTGACTGAAGATAGAAAATCAAACTGAAATAACAAAGAATAGAAAAACAAAAAAGTAAGCAAAGTATTAGATTTCTAAAGTGTCATGCTTAGTGATATTCCAAAATGTATTAACTATTCCTGAAGAATTCACTTTGCATGACTGAGTACCTGCCTTGATATGTAACTTCTGGTTCATTCCTTCATTTATTCACTAATTGTCTTTTTTTGCTGTTTTTCCTTAACCGTCACCTATACACTTTCACAACACTTGTCACTCTAAGATTTTTTGTGGGGAAACAAATGACTCCATTAATTATTTACGTGTAAATAATAAGTATTAAGAAATCTACATGAGAGTATGTCAGCAAAGAAAAATAGGCTGAGCTTAGTGTTAGTGCTGGAACAATGATGGCTAATTAAAATGTTGTCAGTCCCCGGTGCTTTGCTAGGAGCTGACGACATCTGCCTGTACCATAACAGGGATTTAGGAAGCGCATGTGTCTGTGTGCTTGTGTTGGAAAACTATACTCTTGACAGAAGGTGTCCATTTGACAAACCTTGGTAATGGGACTTTTTTTTAAGTTAGTGGACATATTTTAATAAGGTAGGTAAATTTGTAAGCCGATGCCTAGTTATTCTAGCTACCGCACACACACTGCTCATGTGCTGCCTTTATTAGTGCCTCTCTACTGTGTTTTTAAGATAAGCCTTTTGTAGTCACTGATAGGACATCAATATGAGCCACTTCCTCAATCAGTTGGTGGTACATGCTGTGTAAGGGTTTATCCTTTCATGATGGTCCTTGTTTGCTCCTCTAGCCCTTGTTTGGTTTCAGCTGCCTGAGACATTCATTTAGTAGCTCACCACTGGGGGCTGTGTCTTCCTCCATCTTTCTGTTTTATCC